AGCCCCCGCACGCACGCATCCATGGGGACGCGAAGCCGTAGGGGAACCGATCGCACGGCGATCGCGGTGGGGACAATGGGGTCCCTCTGGAGAGTCGATGGAAGGTGTTAAATAGTGAGTAAAGAACAATATATACATCATTCACCGTGGGGTTTGAGCCCAACATGGGCTCGAGGCGAAGCGTGAGTGTCTCGACGTTGAGGTCGTCGAGTGGCCCAGGGCCGGTGGAGGGCACTCCTCCTCCAGTGGACGCCGGGACGAGCGCCTCCTCGCGGAGGCAGAGTACGCCGAGCTGGTCGGCGACAAAGTCCAAACTCCCAAAGAGGAAGGTCTGGAGTGGCACGAAGATGGAAGGAGCCCACATCCCATCAAGTGGGAGCGTGGGAAACTCCAGCGAGCCCAAGCGAATCGTATAGCTCGAGCGCGCTATGCCAAGATGGTGGAAAGATGGGCCATCCGATGACCAAAGGTGTGAACGCACGTCGTCCTCCCCATGGACGGCACCAACTGTCGGTGCGAAATGTGGTCGACAAGTAAATATTTATAATTTTGTTGTGCATTGTGATCGGATATGGCCTAGCACGCGATGACACATGATTTATACTGATTCAGGCAACGTGCCCTACGTCTAGTTTCAGTTGGTCGGTGACTTTATTCCTGAGCTTAGGTGCTCAAAGTTTGCTGTGGGGTTACAAATGAGTAAGGAATGAGAAGAGGGTGTTAGAGGCTCGGTCGGACTCTGAACCGAATAAAAGAGTCTGACGGGTGCTCTAACATGCGCTAAGTATTGAAGCGTATGCTCTGTGCAGCTGTCGAGTTCTAGAGCCGTTGAGCTGTTCGAGTCCTCAGGTCATCCAGTCCTTGAGTTGTCTAGCCTCCTTTTGTTGGAAGAGAGCGTATCCCCTTTTATAAACAAAGGGGATGGCATTACAAGTCAGAGAGAAAAAGAGAGAGTGTGTACGTGTGCTAGCTAGTCTTGTTACCCACGCTATCGGATACGAGACGATCGTAGGCGCCCACAATACTGTTTATGTTCAGATATATCTGGCAGGCTCTACCATGTTCGCCTGGTACGACAAACGTCGGCGCATATAATACTGTTTGTGCTCTGACACGTTCGGAAGGTTGCATAGTGCCCGTCTGGCATGACCTGGTAGTACTGTCCTACAGGTGCGCAGGGCATGGAAGGGTACGGTTCTCGGTATTGCGGTTGACTTGAGCGTCTTACTTTATCTGCTCTATCTGATCTCCGGGACCTCACCGAGCGGACGTCTCCGGTCAGTCGTTCCCAGTCGGTTCCGACCGTGTCGGTCGGGAAAGAGCAGCGAACAGAGGTCTGGCGTATCCTCGGTCGGAGTCGGACTATGGTCCCATCTTAGCTAGGCCTTTCGATCGGGGACCGGATCGTTGTCTTGGCATGTCGTTATGTATCTGGACCGGCTCAGGCACGTGTTGTTGCTGTGCCGCCTGCTGGGCCGGGTTTTTCAGGGAAGCAGGTTCATTAAGGACGCCGGATTTACGAACGGTTGACATGGCCGCGCTACAACGAGCTTTGAGTTCGTACCTAGGGTCGGAAGAAGAAACATTTAGGCCTTTCTGGTTCTAAGGGAAAATCGTTGCCAAACGCGTGTTTGCGAATGGTACGTGTGTCCGTGAAATGGCGGCGAATAATTTTGCAGCGATTCTCGTTTCTGCTTGTCCATCTTCTCTTATCACCATCTGAATCCTTACAACCAATCAAACAATTTCATCACGTGATTTTACCTCTCTTAAGTAAGTGTTATGATAAATCCAAATCTCATTCCAAAAAAAAAAAAATCCAAATCTCAAAAGCGCCCTTAGCATAAGAGTAGTGGCAGAGTGCTCGCTAGCTGTTCCATGACACGAAGGTGGTCTATGCCAAGGCTTTATCTTGTGAATTATCTGAATCTAGCCTTTAATAAGTGACTATATGTTTGTTGTGACGGATTATTGGCAGTAATAACGAGGGGCACCATCAGCCTAAGTACGACTACAGATGCCGTATCCTCACGTTAACTGCGTGTTCTAGAAATTCTCTAAATAATATTTGACTAGGTAAATGCCAATGCGTTACAACAAGAAAAAAAAATAATACTATGATAGTATAACTATGAATACGTGTTATACTGTTACAAAAACAATATTTCGAGTGTGATGTTCAGAACATCAATATTATATGAGTTTTCAAGAAGGATGGATAATTAAAATATAAATCAAGTTTTAATGTGAAATTGAAACAATTTAGTTCCTTACAACTATCTATTCTACCACTTCCGGTTTATGATATGCTTAAGATCACTCCTTTAGGAATTAAAATTCTCCTAGAATTTTCAACATAAAGCTTAAGATAGTCTTGCACTCCTTTAGGAATTAAAATTCCCCTAAAATTTCCATCATAAGCCAATAGTTAGATCACAAAGTCATTTCGTATCCTTTAGCCATCCTCATGCAAAGTCAAATATGAAATTAGAATGTGTCCCATATACAATTTGTAGCTTTATAATTTGGAATGGAGTACTTTTTTTTCTAAAAAAGTATGTTGTACTCAGCTTTGTTTTATTTTTATAACACTGATAAAATCAATTACTTTTGTTTTGTAGAATAGAATTACCAAATAAAAGTAGCCACAGTGATTTAGCTTATTTAATCAACCCTAATTTAGAACTGAGCAATATGCGCATAAAGTTGTCCGAACAAAGGAACAAGTAGTTCTATGAACTTGTTAAGATTAGCAAATGTTATAGGTGGGCCCCGTATGGCATTACTATAGAGAAAGTTATAAAGTAATCACATGAATTGTGTAAGAATTTCATAGGAATCAATCCAATTTTACAGAGAACAAATTCCGAGAAGCTGGCACTGAATTAGCTCTGTTTATCGATACAAAATTATTTCATCAGTGCTATTATTTCATCAATGCTGAATGGACTTGCAACACCACCTCAACCATGGGTGAGATATTTAACTGTGGAGGAACCGATAAATTGGCATTGATTGATGAATGGCTAAATCTAGGCTCCTAGTTGAGAATTGAGATTCCTTCTGTACACTGGCATCAGGATGCCAAGAATATGTTACATATCGGGGTGAGGGGTATACAAATGGAGAGTTAGTGATTTTGGTCCTTAAGTGATTCAGTATGGGAATCCAATACATACAGTACCATCATTTGACACTTGTTAGCTTGCCAATTTAGTATGATAAGGAGACTTGCTCCGCCATGTAGGAATAGGGAGAATCTGCAATCACAAAACATGAGATTTTTTTTTTTAAAAAATCTTCAGTATCTTCGATAACTGTCATGTTCAATAAGCTAAAGTTGAAATACAAAGCAGATGCAAGCAAATCCCTGTACATGCTAGATAAATATGAACTATGACAAATAGGTGCATAGCTGCAGGAACCACGCATATAAGACGACATCTAACACAAATATCAGAGCAGAAATCAGATTATTTTTAATTCGCATGATAAAAAACAATAAATAGAATGATCAAAGAACACCAAGCGAAAGAGAAAATATTCAGAACACCATTCATATCATGAGTCTAGATAAAGGTACGCTGCCCTCCAGGTTCTTGGAAAGAAAGAAACAAAAATGAATTCTCTATCTTTTAACTCACTGGTAATCTGTCAGTTAAACATGAGAGCGACGGATCATGGTAGTGCGTTAACAAACCTATCCTACACCAGGAAACAAAAAAAAATGGTACATGCAGAAAGCCAACCCACATACATTGCATTGCTTGATTATCTAAACAAACTCAAAGTATTGAATCTACAAGTGCGATCAGTAACAACCTAAGAGCAAGTGCAATCAGCCTGTTCGGGAGGCCATATCGTATCGTGGATTATTTACTGCTGGCTGGTTTGGTGTGAGAGAAAAACACTATTTTTGGCTGAAAATTTACGATCGTTACGAGCAAACGAACAGGCTGAATGATACAGCCTGCTGCCGGCGAAATAAACTCCAGCCTGGCTTCCATTAAATGCAGCAGCGGCAGCCAGCAGCACGTTGCACCCAATGCGGAGCCTGCGTAGCAGCAGAGCAGCCAGTAAAAACGCAGCACACACGTATTCACCCGCTCCGAACCGGTGTTTTACGAGACGCCCGCTCCACACTCTCTCCTGTTCTCTCTCTGCCAGCAGGGATTTAGCCGGCCATAATACTTGCTTTAAGCGACAAGTAGAATTGCGGCGCGCGCGGTTGCGTAGGGACGTCGCGCACGGTGGCGTCGGAGACGTGTAGCGGTGCAGGGAGTCGTGCCTATCGCCGGGATCCTCGTGCGGGGAGAGAGAGTCCGCGAGACCGGGTCCACTGTGCGGGCGAGCGATGGGAGAGTGGGAAGGGCCGGGTGGGCGAGCGAAGGAGCGCCGGTGGGCCCGACACGGAGGGAATCGTGGGAGCGCCCGACGGTAATCGTCGCAGGTGAGTTTCGTGTGCCTTACTATTGGTTTGCAAATTTTTTAGCTAAGAGATAGAGATTGACAGAAGGTTCAAAAAAAAAGAGAAAGAAAAGTGAGAGAAACATAAAAAAGAAAGTCTTTGTACCGATGATTTCGCTAAAAAAAGGCGTGTACAAGGCCCAGATAGGCTCGTGACTTCTGTGAGCTCGTTACCCGGACCAACCCAGGCTCCACCACATCTACAGCGAGCTGGCGACACTAGTCCCGCCCGGGCCAGGACTGTACTCGGCCACGTCTCGCTGCGTCTCTGGCTCTCTGCCGCCTGCTCTCGTCCTCTTCCCTCCTCCTCCCTCCATTAAAGTACTCGAGCCCACAACCCCCAGCCCCCCAACCTCCCATGGTCCCATCCCATCCCCGGCCATTCCAACTTCGCAGCAGCGCTCGCACAGCAATTTTCGCTCGCTGATTCACGCACACACAAAAATTTCGCTTGCCCAATCCCCACAAAAACCGAGCCAGCCAAACCGATCCGCTGCGTTGTCTCTCCCGCATCCGCCACGCCCCACTCCGCGATGGCGGAGCCGTGCCCGCCCGGCGGGATCGACCCGCGCAGCGGCTTCTGCGCCGCGACGCGGACCTTCCACAGCCTGCGCCCGTCCGCCGAGCTCCCGCCGGACTCGCTCCCGGCCACCGCGGCCGCCTACGCCTTCTCCATCCTCTCCTCCCCGCTCCCCGACCGCCCCGCCCTCGTCGACGCCGCCACCGGCATTGCCGTCTCCTACCCGTCGTTCCTCGCCGCCGTCCGCTCCCTCGCGGGGGGCCTCTGGTCCGTCCTCGGCCTCCGCCCCGGGGACGTCGCCCTCGTCGTCTCACCGTCCCGCATCGACGTCCCCATCATAGACTTCGCGCTCATGTCCATCGGCGCTGTCGTCTCGCCTGCCAACCCGGCGTCCACCGCCGAGGAGTACGCGCACATGGTCGCGCTCTCCAGACCGGTCGTCGCGCTCGTGGCACCCGAGGTGGCCGCTAAGCTGCCGAGGAACCTCAGGTGCGTCGTCATCGGCTCGGATGAGTACAAGGGCCTGTCCTCCGCCGGCGGTGCGGCGCCGCCCCCGCCGGTGGCGGTGAAGCAGTCCGACACGGCGGCCGTGCTCTACTCGTCGGGCACTACGGGCCGGATCAAGGCCGCCGCGGTCTCGCACCGCAACCTCATCGCCGTGCTCTGCGCGCACAGGGACAACCGGGCTATAGCGGACAAGGAGGCTGCCGAGGCCGGCCAGGAGCCGCTCCCGCCTACGGTGACGCTGTTCCCCCTCCCGCTCTTCCACGTGTTCGGGTTCATGATGGTGCTCAGGTCCGTGGCCATGGGGGAGACCGCCGTCCTCATGGACCGCTTCGACTTCATCGCCGCGCTGCGCGCCATCGAGCGGTACCGCGTCACGCTGCTCCCCGCGGCGCCGCCGGTGCTGGTGGCCATGATCAAGTCCGAGGAGGCGCGCCGCCGCGACCTCTCCTCCCTCATCGTCATCGGCATCGGCGGCGCGCCACTCGGCCGCGAGGTCGCCGAGCGCTTCGCCGCCATCTTCCCCAACATCGAACTCGTTCAGGTTCAATGCAACCTGCACGATCATAATCACTTAAACGCAGGCCGCACCGCAGATTCCATTCTGAATCTATGTTCTTGTTTCCACTTTCCAGGGCTACGGTCTGACGGAGACATCTGGCTCGGCGGCTTCGACGGTTGGGCCAGATGAGTGCAAAGCGTACGGTTCGGTCGGGAAGCTGGCATCGCACTTGGAGGCGAAGATCGTCAATCCCTCCACCGGCGAGGCGCTGGGGCCGGGGCAGCGCGGCGAGCTCTGGGTCCGGGGACCAGTCGTCATGAAAGGCAAGTAGAGCAACTACTTCTTTGACTATGCAGTGGTTAGAAGACCATTGTTACTACAGATGATAGCTTTGTTAATTGGCTGAACTTTGCATGCGAAGGTTCTTCCCATGATGCTTCTCGTAGGACTTTCTGTTTCTGTCATATATACTACTGTATAATCACATGGTTGGATTGTACGGTTTGGTTTGTCTGAGTGATTGAGCTGTCATGTGGAAGTTATGCATTGATCAGGCGAGCTTTCTTAATTCTCAAGCAGCATGGTTTGCCCACCATGTTTTTAGCCCATGTTTAGTTACAACCAAAAATCCTAAAAACTGCTACAGTAGCCATCACATCGAATATTTACGGTCCGTGCGTGAAACATTAAATGTAGATGAAAAAAAAAAACTAATTGCACAGTTTGGTGGGAAATTACGAGACGAATGTTTTGAGCCTAATTAGTCAATGTTTGAACATTAATTGCCAAATAAAAATGAAAGTGCTACAGTAGCCCCAAATTCCAATTTCGTGAAACTAAACACGCGCTTAATGGGGCTTTTGGTCATGCTGCTTAAACATTTGTCCCAACCAAACACATGTGGTCAGTGCAGTACCTTTAGGGATTAGTCAGCCTGTTTGGGAGGCCGTATCGTATCGTGGATTATTTACTGCTGGCTGGTTTGGTGTGAGAGAAAAACACTGTTCCCGGCTGGAAATTTACGATCGTTTACGAGCAAGCGAACAGGCTGACATCACGGACAATTAGGGGTGAAAACGGTACGGATATTTTCCAACCGTATTCGAGACCGAATCTGTTTAGAGGAGTTCGAATCTGTCCGTATCCGAGTCCGGATATTCAACATCCGATACCGTATCCGTATCCGAATAATCAAATCGCATATTTATGATGTCGATATCCAATCGTATCCTATCCGTCATGGTTGACAATATCCGTATTTGAATCCGAATCCGGACAGAAATATGAAAACAAATATAATATCAGTGATATCCGTTCGTATCCGATCCGTTTTCATCCATACGGACAATGCATGGCTGCTTGTTCTGTTCCTAATGAATAGTAATGCCACTCTGGCACTGATGTTTATTGCAATCGTATCTTAGACTATCTCCAACGACAACACCCAAAATACAAGACCCATTCATTCTTTGGTAGCGCTACAGGCAAAAGGTTCGGTACTTATTCGGCATCTTCTCCAAAAACAAGACCTAAAAGAGAATCCTTTCTGCAAATGAGTTTCTAGGAGAGAGGATGCCCATATTTGGGTTGTGTCTCTCAAGCAACCAAAAAACCCAAAATAGGTCTCCCGTATAGGTACTCTGTTGGAGGCTAATTTTGGGTCTCTTGCTACCCATTTTGGGTTTTTATGCCCATATGAGTTCTTTGTTGGAGACAGTCTTACCAGCGAGCCATGTGTTCATGGTGTTTTATATCTGAAAACCAGAGCACCTTGCTTATGCTTTCGTGCAACCTAGCAGCTGTTTAGAATGTTAGCTAGCCTCTGTTAGCTGGTATGGAAGAATCCGTGAACCGACTTCATCAGCTTATTTGAAGGTTTGCTTGTAGCAGTCCTTTCCTTAAGGATACTGCCGCAATCAGATATCCATGTGAACTCTTATTTGTTCACACTTCATAAAACATAATGAATTGGCACATTTTTAAGGCAAAATATGTTCCCAGAGAATTTGGTATTTTAGATAGTTCCCTTGAATCTTGGAACATGTCTTTTTTGGGGGCACTACTACATGAGCCATATGATGATATTTTTCAGGTTATGTGGGTGACTACGAGGCTACTGCAGCAACAGTGGATTCAGAAGGCTGGTTGAAAACTGGTGACCTATGCTACTTCAATGAGGATGGGTTTCTCTACATTGTTGATCGGTTGAAAGAGTTGATAAAATACAAGGGATATCAGGTGCTGCACAGCTAGTTGGAAACTGCATTATTTTAGCATTAAAATCAGAGAATTCATCTCACAATTGTTTGTGTTTGCATGGTACTGACATAAATCTTGCTCCAGGTACCTCCAGCCGAACTGGAGCATATCCTGAATTCTCATCCTGATATCATTGACGCAGCAGTTATCCCGTAAGTACCTTGTCGAAAACCTGGGAAACTAAAGGACCATTGATTCAAACTAATGCTGATATAAGATTCCTTCATCATTAGACAATATCTGAGATGTTCCTTCCGTATGCACTATGCAGGTATCCAGACGAAGATGTCGGGCAAGTACCAATGGCTTTTATAGTGAGGAAACCGGGGTCAAACCTTACCGAGCAACAAGTCATGGATTTCGTGGCTAAACAGGTATCTTATACTCAGTTTGATTACATTCTGCTCCAATTAATAATTTAATAATGAACTAGTTGTGTCCCGTCATAATTATTGTCGTTCTACCTTTCCCTAAACAAACCATGCAAGTTGCCAAGTTCCCTGGTTCGTTTGCTGATAAAGATAATAACATCCTTTGCCCTGATGCAAAAGGTAACACTGATATGCTGTTTGGTTGTCATGTAGCATATTGGTGCATATAGCTATGGATAGCAACCTAACTTCCCACTTTCTAATAGCCATGGAAGCATGGGATTGGTCCTTCCCTTTATACAGGATATTCTTGGCTATGGGTTATTGTAGACTGTAAATTGAGACCTGATTTTATTTTATTTTGTGACAGGTCGCACCGTACAAGAAAGTCCGTCGAGTGGCCTTTGTTTCTGCAATTCCCAAATCGCCTGCTGGGAAGATCTTGCGGCGGGAACTTGTAGAGCAGGCCGTGTCCATGGTTACCTCCAAGCTTTGAAGTACTGACGTGGAATCTAGGGGATTTCTTTTGTATAATACTCGACCCGGGATATACTATGTACAATATGCTGCTGCGGTTTTCAGATTGCTCATATATATATTCAGTTGAAGTGCTCCAAACAAATTAGGGAAATATTGTACGTTGAATATCTACTACTGTAGTGAACAACTACCAAAGCAGTACTTGCCACCGTCCGGCAACTGAAACAACTAAGGACGCGTTTAGATGTAACCCAAAACCTAAAATTTTTCAAGATTCTCCGTTACATCGAATTTTGCGGCACATACATGAAGTACTAAATATAGACAAAAAAAAATTAATTACACAGTTAGTCGAGAAATCGTGAGACGAATCTTTTAAGCCTAAATAATCCATAATTGGATAATTTTTACCAAATACAAACGAAAGTGCTACAGTAGTCATAAGCCAAAAATTTTCGGAACTAAACGGGGCCTAAACTCCCAACTTCCCCAATAGCTATCGCACAAACCGCGGGGAATTGCAACAAGTAGCAAATATGAATTCAGAATTATTGTTTTTCACAAAAAAAAGAAATCAGAACTAGTGTAGCAAGACGCGTAGCGCATGTGGCGTGAGTACCTGAACCTGATTGCTTTCCTGCCTGCTGGGAGCAATGGAGGATGGAGCTTCCATTTCGCCGAATCGTGGTGCCTCCACGGCTTCACCTACCGGCGTCGGCAGTCGGTGCACCCCGCAGCTGCCCGCTGGCCTGTTTGCTCGAACTTATAGTATTTTTCTCTTATAAAAAATCAAGCGAACACGGCCATCTCCTGCCGGCTGAAGCGCACATCGTGCCTGCCACCAGCAAGCCGCAGGCGCTCACGCGGCACGCCTAACGGTGACGCTGCCACCTTTCACGTCTTCTGCTGTGTTTTTATTTGTTCCGAGTTTTTTTTTTCTTTTTTCTTTTTTTTGTGTGTGTGTTCCAAGTTACCGAGTATGACTCGGTTCGGTTTTGGGGCACGCGTGTCGGAGGTGGTGATGGAAGTGGAGACGGTAGCGGAGATGAGGGAGGCGACTACAACGTCGGAGACAACGCCACAGGAGACACAGTGTAACATCTTCCCTCCTGGTTAGGGATGAAAACAAAAATAATAATTTTTTATTTTCAGAAATTGTTTTCGAGTTTTTTCTGATTTTCAGGCCTAAATGAAAATGGTAGCGGAAATCGGAAAACGAAAATAATAACGATAAAAATAATCGGAAATGAAAGCAAAAATGATTTTGCCCTCTTCCGACCGTTTTCGAAGATTGCCGTATTTAATCGATAATTTACCGTCGGTAGGTACCGATTCGAAGGCCTTGAATCCTAATTTATTTATAGACTATGTAATGCATATACTTTAGGTCTAGTTGGCCCGCATCTAAGCATCTCATCTGCACACGCAAGCACATAAGGCAAATATTTTTTTTTGAAAGGAACTATACGGCAAGTATTTCATCCGTATAGGAACGAGAAGGAAACCAACCAATCACGTACTACACCCTAACTTAGTCACCACGAACACGAACGGAATACGGGGTTTAGCTTGTTTGAGACCCTAAGATGGTGTGACACGTGGTTTTAGCCTGTGGTCTTGTCAATTATGACTTTATTTATTACTATTGTCATGTGAGATAGGTTGAGTTTTATGGCTCTTCTCATGTTCTACAGTTTAGCGTGTTTATCGTTTTTAAGGATATCGCTCTTATGGATTCCGATCATTATTGATGTGTTTTTTGATGGACCACTATCGTTTTCGAAATTACCGGAATATCGGTGCCGTATTTGTTTCCGACAATATCGTATTGATTTCGTTTTCGAGGAAAAAAAATGTGAAAATAAAAGTGATTTGGCCTCCTATCAATCGTTTCCGATCATTTTCATCCCTACTCCTGGTCTCACCCACGTTGGGAAGGGGGTGTTATGAACTCAGTAGGCTATAGATGGAATTGGGACCGGGAAGAGCGATGAACACGGCAGGACTCCTTGAGATTTCGTATTTCGTATTCATGTTTGGAACCGTTACATAATTCTCTTCTTGCTTGCCCAATCCTCGACAGACTGAGCCACATCCACGACACACTCCTGGATAGCCCAACTTCCTACTCCTTTCGGCCCACTAGCTATCAGGACATAACAGGGGAAAAAGAAAAAGAAAAAGAAATTCTCCCTTGGACAGGGGATACCTTGGGGTGCATGTGGGTCTTATTTAGTCTCTGATGATTCATTACTTGACTGCAAGCTTATACTATATCATCTGAGTTGTAGTCGAATGCGCAACTTATGTTTGTCTGATGATTTTGTGTTTTGTTTTTGCATTACAGGTGTTAAGTTGGGCAATGGTGGAATTATCTTGGTGCTTTTTGAGACGCCATCTGGCTTTGCAATTTTCTCTTATGACGGTGTCATTCTCCTCCAGCCAAATGCAATCGAGGTACTTGTCTTTACCAATGCACTTGTCTTACTCACATGGTTGTTTGTTTGTTGTAGTCGCCTTTGTCATCGGCCTAATTTTTTCTGCACATGCGCTGCAGGATATCTGGGCAGACTTCACTAGTGGTCGCAGGGCAAAATTAGTTAGTGCCTTTCTCCTTCTGATTGTCTATATATATTTATATACATTCTTTGTCTTTACTAAAATGTTGAAGCTAATTTATGGTTGTTTGGACACCAGAAAATCCGTCTCAAGCGGCTTCTCGTGTTGGAAAAGTGTGGGCATGCCAGTGTATTAAGTACACAAAAATAAAAGACAGTAACATGTATTTTGTTAACCATCGTAAGTTTAACAAATACAAATCTCTAATGCGCGCACTACATGGCCTGCTCGCAGCGATCTGACATGGGCGATCGTGGTCTTCATGGTTCCTGGGGCCTTGGAAGGCTCCCAGTTAATTACCCCTGTGAGCACACCTCCGATTCTGCTGCTGTGGTCGTCGTCTTCGATCAATCTTCGCTTCCCGTCTCCATGCATAGTGTTGGTGTAGATGTAGGTGGCGCCGGCGTGAGGGCCTCATTGGTCAATGAGTCGGTACAACATGGCTGGAATATCAGTCATGCCCGCCTGCGTCATTCGCCTTGTCGGTGTCGAACGCCGCATGGTGTCATCGCAGTCGCACTTGCATGGTTGGTGTTGCTCGGATCGTCTCGGACTTCTTCGACAGCATCGTCGTGGTACGCCGTGGAACTTGATCACGTGGAGTTGTACTTGTAGAAGTTGATGAAGACTTGTGCCCGGCGTGGTAGATGCATCGTCACGGCGCCACGCCCCTGGCGGCCAGCGCGGCCTCCTGGCTTGCACCTTGCTCGCTTGTACGTAGATGCACCCGGGGCTTGTACGTAGATGCACCCGGCCTGTCCCATACGTGCAAGCATGGCCTGTACGTGCATGCATGGACGCCCGCCTTGGCCTTGTTTGCATTTTAGCATTGCTTGCATCTTGGTGTAGTACTTGCATCTTCAGGTTCTTGTCCTGGCAGCCGCGTTCGCAGCTCAGCCACCAATCCCACGTCGCGGGCATGTCTGACACCGGCAAGCCGAAGCCCGCCAGCGATGCTCCGTCTCCTCGTGACGCGATGATTCTCGCAGTCCGGCGCCGTCTCGATCATCTGGCTGCCGTGTCATTCTCTTCTCGGCCGGAACCGTGACACCGGCCAACGTGCATGCTGCTGTGCAAGATTGGAAGAAATAATAACCAGATGACTAGATTAGTTTCTTACCCATGGAGAACGACGTGCACGCCATCTCCTTTTGCTTGTGGCTTCCGGCTTCAGGAACGGCCGTGCAGACGCCTGATCGCCTTGGATCGGACTCCCTCGCGGCCGGACGCTGGTGTTGGTGGATTGCGAATACGCGCTTCCTAAGCCTGGCGGTGCTACTCGCTTTGAGGATGTAAAGTGTGATTAGCCTTTCACTGCACTGGGTCCTGAGGCTCCTTTATATAGGCAGCGTCTAGGGTAGCATCAGGGATTTTTTTTTAATTTTAACACTTTTCCTAAACTAATTTTAAATCTAATATTGTTTTTTTAAACTAACACTTTTGGTCGCGCCTATTGCCATGGCGCGGCGAAAAGCATGGTGGCGTGGCGGGTGGCTGACGTGGCGACGACCAAAAATGCTGACCGGTGACGTGGCAGGGCCTGACGCGCCACCGATCTTGGCGCGGCAGTGCCGTGCCCTGATCCGTGGCGCGGCAGAGCCAAATAAAAGCTCCGCGGCTACTTCCGCTTACCCGAGCAGCAAGCCCGCCTGGCCGCGCCCGTCCGTGCCTGGCCGCCGCGCTCGCCGCCGCCCAGCCCTCCGTTGCCGCCTCCCTCCCTCCCTTCCCTTCCATTCCCCAGCCGCCTCCCTCCCTCCTCGTTCCCGTTCAAGGTAATGACGTACTTTTTATTTTTGTTTGAATGGTGGATATGAATATTATAAATGGGAGTTAAGGTTAGGAGGAAAATTATGTTTGGGAACTATGGGCTACGGTTTGGAGAAAGATATTAGTTTGATTTTGTCAATGTTAAGGTTAATTATTTAGTTAGAAGTATATTTACCATGTATATTTTTGTTGCTATAAGTGTTGGTTATATTATTTTAGTTGTAATGCAAATGATTATATTTTACATTAATTTACGTTGTTTTGATTGATGTTTTATTTGAACCGTTTTATTAGATGGAAGACATGTTTCGGGAGCAGTTGTGGCGGAAACGGGGTCGTCCTAGAGAATTGTACCCCGTCGAGTCTAGCAAAGATGCTCCCGTCCCTCCTAAACTCCATGTCCCTAACTGTGACTGTGGTCGTCCGGCCGACGTATTTTAATCGAGACATCCGGACACAGTGGCTCGTTGCTTCTACACATGCAGTCATTTTAATATAAGTAATTGTTTTCGTATGTTTTTTTCTTCATTTGTATTACTAGGTTACTACTATTTTGTTGGAATTTTGTTGTGTAGGCCCATGAGAGGTGCTTTTTTCTTTCAGTGGATCGACGGTGCAGACAAGTTTGAT